ATGATAATGTGAAGTGAAGACAAAGTGTCTCAATAACTAACATTTGCTTTGATATCATTCGTACAATGTTGAAGGTGAGAAGCATAGCAGAATAGTTTTGTTGTACTTTGATATAATGGTGGAAAAGGCTAGCGTACACTCGAGGTGTAATATGCACCTTCATTCATACCTATTATTTGTATGTTAATATATTTTGACAAATAAGAATCGGTGGTTATTATTTTCATTAAATGAATCGTACAATTTGGATTAGAGAATTAGAGACCATGGTTCACCTATTAGAGAATATGGTATAGCATCATGTGCCAAACTTCGTTAATACATGGTCTAAATACCAACTTTATAGGAGTTCGGTAAGGTGGCGTACACGAGTTTAAACCATGTACAACTTATGAAGTTGACAATTGTTGGTCCAAGCGGTGATGAAGTTACAGCGTTGTTTGACTTTATTATTGATCATCATTAAGACATAGAGTAAATCTAGCGGCCCTCATACCAGATAAGTCAGTGATAATAGGTAACAATAATAAATAATTATGAAAATTAGGAATATGATATCATTGAAAAAAATAACAAATAATAGAAGGAAAAGTACAAACAGATAATACTCGCGGCCCATCAGGCGGGCACAAAACTAGTAATACTAAGGTGCATCTAACATTCCAAATTTCACCTAGTATTTTTTCAGATTCGTACACCTAATTATGAAGGTTTGAGACGATCGAGGTAATGGAATGAGGAATGGGAATTATGGAGAGGCAGAGAGCCCGAATTTGAGACGAACTAATTTAGCTAATGAGCCGGGAATTCCGGTTTCCTTCCGGAGAAGGATGAGTCAGTTTCCTTCCCACCCCTCATACTATTAATTGTCATCCTAGATGCGTTTTTTTTCTTATTCTTCCTTGTTTCTTTTAGCTCCGACTTAGAATTACACCAAGCGGAAACAGTAAAGAGGAAGAAGAAGAAAAAAAAAGAGTAGGAGCCTAGGAGGTATATGGAGATGGATTACTCGCAACTTCCAGAAGACATATTGGTGAAGATGGTGGAAGACCACTTGCCTAGCTTTTCCAATCTCATCCTCTTCTCCCACGTCTGCAAATCGTGGAGAATCGCCGCTCGTGAATCCATCGCCGCTGAGCGTCGACCGCCGCCATGCCGGCCTGGCCTCCTATTATCCCGCAGCTACTCCGACTCCCATGAGTTCTTGCCCCTGGCCAATTTCGCCGCCGCCATGGCTCCTCCTCC